GTGTGTGTGTGTGTGTGTGTGTGTGTGCATGGACTGTATGGAAATAACATCAAATATGTACAATTTAGAAGTCTAGTTTCATGATTCTTTAAAATGTCAGTAGATGAAATGATCTTAGAGTTTAATGCATTTACTATGAATCAGTTAAATCATTTAAAAAATTTGATTCAAAACTCTGATCAGGGTTATTACAGTAACTAAAACCATAAATAAACATTTTCGTAACTTGCAATAAAAATAAATGTTAACCGAAATAAAATACAAAATAAAATATACAACATAAAAAACTTGACAAAACATGATATAGACATATAAAAAAATCGAATGTAAAATAAAAGTAATGCAAACTAGACAGTAAAAACAGTAATATTATCTTGATACTACAACAACTATGACTCTGATTCAGTTATTAGTTTTATGAAAAATTGCATTTTTTTATGTTTTATTTTTAAAATGTGGTGTTATATTGATTCAAAAAGAATGAAAGTGTGGAAAACACGCCTTGATAATGTTTATATATAGATTGTACTGTATTATATACATTTTTAACCTACAGTATTTGACTGTTTGGTTAAAATGAGCTGAAAATCAGCTCATTTTACAATTAGCATTTCTGATTTGAACATACACTACAGTTTAAAAGTATGGGGTCAGCAAGGTGTTGTTGTTGTTGTTTTTAAAGAAATTAATACTTTTATTCATCAAGGATGCATTAAATTGATCAAAAGTGACAGTAAAGACATTCATAATGTTACAGTAGATTTCTATTTCAAATAAATGCTGTTCTTCTGAACTTTCTGTTCATCTGTGAATCATGAAAAATAAAATGCATCAGTTTCCACAAAAATATTGTGCAGCACAACTGTTTTCAACATTGATAATAATCAGAAATGTTTCTCGAGCAGCAAATCAGCATATTAGAATGATTTCTGAAGATCATGTGACACTGAAGACTGGAGTAATGATGCTGAAAATACAGCTGCGCATCACAGAAATAAATTACAGTTTACAATATAATCACAGCTGTTTAAAATTCTAATAATATTTCACAATTTTTACAGTATTTTTAACTGTATATTTTTGACCGATTAAATGCAGCAGAAGAGATATCCTTTAAAAATATGAATAAATCTCACTGTGTACATCTCCTCGTGGTTTCGCTGTGTTCTCTCTGTGAATGCGGTTGTCTAGTGTTGTAGTTGAGCTCATCAGTGCGGTTGTTGTTGTTGTTGTTGTTGTTGTTGTTTCTCTGGTGGTTGTCATGGGAGTTGTTGCCGTGGAGATGTTTGTGGGGCTGACTGTGACTTCGACTGGTCTTGCAGGCTCAATGGTGACTTTAACAACAGCTGAAACACACACAGCATCACTTAAAGTCCCCATGAAATCAAAATGAAAGTGTTTTGGGTGTTAGTATCAATATGTTAGTCTTAAGGTTATCTATAAGGCAGTGTGCTCCAAAACAGTGACAAAATTCGCATTTAGAAGATATAAGCATTCAAAGCTTTCAGTTCGTCACTTCCGCCAAAA